AAAATTGTGCATGTTTCCACTTTTAATTTTACATGTTTCGAACCTATCTCATCAGTCATTCCATAATTCTTCCATTTGACTTGAAAGCCCGAAAAACAGGAATGATTATAAACTAAAAAGAGTTAATAAATAGTACTATTTACAATTTCAACTTTGACGTAATTTTTCAGTGAAAATAAGGGTGAAAAATACTAACTTAATCGTCAAACATAGGATAAAAAGAAACTGTAAAGTTGTGACTCCTCAAGCTCTCTTCTTGTAGTTGGGTATACCGTTTCCGTAGCCAAACATGAATCTGAAGCTCCACATCTCCAAAGCACTCCTTTTGTTCCTCTAATATTTTCTTTGCAGAAAGCACGGCAGAGTCCGGACAAGCCGACACCTTGATCACGCTAAGTGTGGGTATTTCCCAAAATCCAAATGGGATCTCCTTTAGAGGTAACAATGCTAGTTCGAGCCTCTCGAGGCGCGGGAAGTGCTCGGCCTCCGCCCTCCACTGTTTCAGATCCCTGCTTGCCTCCTCGAGTTTCAAATATCTCAGGCTCTGGAATCTGTCATTTGTTGTTGACGCATGCAAATTCAAATCCCACACGGGCCCCGTGCACGCATTCAAATTCAAATGGAGGGCCTCGAGATATGGCAACGAGCCTATCTTTTCTCCAGTCTCCTCCCACCCGAGTTCCGTGCCGTACAGATGCAACTTCCTGAGTGAAACCGGGAACGTCACCTCAATTATTCGGCAACACGAAAGGCATGAAAGGGTCTCCAGCTTGCGTAGCCGACACAGATTGTCGAGATTGTGATTGCGGTTGTACTGTATTTTCAGATTCTTGATATTGGGGATTCTTTCAACCACTTCCTCACTGCACTTGAAGTTATCTACTTCCTTGAGTGTCTCTAGATTCTCCAACACCATCCTATCACCATTTTCTTCATCCATTGGAGGAGTATCCGTGAGCTGGAACCCGCTGGATACCTTGACGTGCCTGAGTTGGGGCATCCGCCAGATGTCCAGCACCAGCCTTCTATCGGCCAAATTAACTATTAACGTCTGTAAATTCCAGAGTCGGTACAAAACTTCCACAGGAAAAAAAATTGTTTTGGCGACCAGGTGGCACAAGTTGACGGGTAGAAAACATTCTTCTTTATGATTGTAAGAATCAAATTTATCGTATCCATTCAGAACCTTAAGCAATCTAAAAGGAACTAGAGATGGTAAATTTCCAGCAACTTCCAATATCAGAGATCGAGCTCGTGATGCGGATTTCACATCTTCAGATAGTGGACGGGGAATGTATTTCCCCTCTGACGCAGCTTGGTGAATGCAGATACGATGTTGGGTGAGCCAGCTTTGGTGGTGGTCAGGGTTGTGCGTTGTTTTGATCGTGCGAAAGAAATTGTATTTCTCAGCTTCTTTTATGGATAGGTACCTTAGGATATCATGGATGCCGCAGCGTTTTATTCTTCGAGTAGGGCCCCACCCACGAACCAAGATTAGATTTCTGATGATGAGATCATGTAGGTACACTTCTCTCGCAATTGTTTCCAAGCTTTTACCGACCACTGGCTTCACAAATCCTTCAGCAACCCATAGTTTGAGGAGCTTGGAGACGCGAATCTCATGATCCTCCAAGAACATGCCCATGTAAAGAAAACACGGCTTCAGGTGGACCGGCAGTTGATTGTAGCTCAACTTTAGTATTCTAAAGCAACTCTCGTCATCCTCTAAATTCACGATCGAGCTTAAATTTTCTAAAATGTGTTTCCAGTTTTCATGTTTCTGTTCAGACTTTGCTAGGAGTCCTCCGATCACCACAATTGACAATGGAAGGCCTCTACAGTTCCTGGCAATCTCCTTCCCAATCTCTTCCAATTCCGGCGGGCACTCTTGTTCGTGAAACACACACCTACGCAGCAGATTCCAACTTTCGTCCATCTTCAGAAAAGGCATTTGGAAGTAGTCTGGGCCATCCAGCTGCAAAGCCACGTTCGATAGCCTAGTGGTTATCAACACTTTGCTCCCGTCGTTGTTATTGGGAAAGAAGCGCTTCACCCTGTCACATGCATCGGTACCCCAGATGTCATCCATCACAATCAAATACCGACGGCCGTATAAGCTTTGATACAATTTTTGTCCTAATTCTTCATATTCGCTGTCCTCACCCCCCATGGTTGTTTTCAAACAGTCAAGGACTTGTAACAAAATCCTTTTCGAATCATATTCTTGAGATATTGTAGCCCAGCAGCGAATATCAAATTGTTCCACAATAAGTGGATTTTCGTAAATAGTTTTTGCAAG